CTGTGTGATATACGCTGTAATGATTTATATACAAATCTATCTATGTGTGATATACGCTGTAATGATTTATATACAAAACTATCTATGTGTGATATACGCTGTAATGATTTATATACAAAACTATCTATGTGTGATATACGCTGTAATGATTTATATACAAAACTATCTCTGTGATGTATGTATGCTGTAATGATTTATATACAAAACTATCTATGTGTGATATAAGATCTATTGATTTATATACAAACTATATATATGTGATGTATGCTGTAATGATTTATATACAAAACTATCTCTCTGTGATGTATGCTGTAATGATTTATATACAAAACTATATATATATGTGTGATGTATGTATGCTGTAATGATTTATATACAAAACTATATATATGTGTGATGTATGCTGTAATGATTTATATACAAAACTGTATATGTGTGATGTATGCTGTAACTATTTATATACAAAACTATCTATGTGTGATGTATGCTGTAATGATTTATATACGAACTATATATATGTGTGATGTATGTATGCTGTAATGATTTATATACAAAACTATATATATGTGTGATGTATGTATGCTGTAATGATTTATATACAAAACTATCTATGTGTGATGTATGCTATAATGATTTATATACAAAACTATAAATATGTATGATGTATGCATTAATGATTTATATACAAAACTATCTCTGTGATGTATGCTGTAATGATTTATATACAAAACTATCTCTGTGATGTATGCTGTAATGATTTATATACAAAACTATATATATGTGTGATGTATGCTGTAATGATTTATATACAAAACTATCTCTGTGATGTACGCTGTAATGATTTATATACAAAACTATCTCTGTGATGTATGCTGTAATGATTTATATACAAAACTATATATATGTGTGATGTATGCTGTAATGATTTATATACAAATCTATATATATATGTGTGATGTATGCTGTAATGATTTATATACAAAACTATCTATGTGTGATGTATGCTGTAATGATTTATATACAAATCTATATATATGTGTGATGTATGCTGTAATGATTTATATACAAATCTATATATGTGTGATGTATGCTGTAATGATTTATATACAAAACTATATATATATGTATGATGTATGCTGTAATGTTTTATATACAAAACTATCTATGTGTGATGTATGCTGTAATGATTTATATACAAAACTATATATATATGTATGATGTATGTATGCTGTAATGATTTATATACAAAACTATCCATGTGTGATGTATGCTGTAATGATTTATATACAAAACTATATATATGTGATGTATGCTGTAATGATTTATATACAAAACTATAAATATGTATGATGTATACTATAATGATTTATATACAAAACTATCCATGTGTGATGTATGCTGTAATTATTTATATACAAAACTATATATATGTGTGATGTATGCTGTAATGACTATATACAAAACTATCTATGTGTGATGTATGCTGTAATGATTTATATACAAAACTATCTATGTGTGATGTATGTATGCTGTAATGATTTATATACAAAACTATCTCTGTGTGATGTATGCTGTAATGATTTATATACAAAACTATCTATGTGTGATGTATGCTGTAATGATTTATATACAAAACTATATATATATGTATGATGTATGTATGATGTAATGATTTATATACAAAACTATCTCTGTGATGTATGCTGTAATGATTTATATACAAAACTATCTCTGTGTGATGTATACTGTAATGATTTATATACAAAACTATCCATGTGTGATGTATGCTGTAATGATTTATATACAAAACTATATATATGTGTGATGTATGCTGTAATGATTTATATACAAAACTATATATGTGTGATGTATACTGTAATGATTTATATACAAAACTATCCATGTGTGATGTATGCTGTAATGATTTATATACAAAACTATATATATATGTGATGTATGCTGTAATGAATATATACAAAACTATCTATGTGTGATGTATGCTGTAATGATTTATATACAAACTACATATATGTGTGATGTATAATGTAATGATTTATATACAAAACTATATATGTGTGATATACGCTGTAATGATTTATAAACAAAACTATATATGTGTGATGTATACTGTAACTATTTATATACAAAACTATATATATGTATGATGTATGCTGTAATGATTTATATACAAAACTATCTATGTGTGATGTATGCTGTAATGATTTATATACCAAACTATCTCTGTGATGTATTCTGTAATGATTTATATACAAAACTATATATGTGTGATGTATGCTGTAATGATTTATATACAAAACTATCCATGTGTGATGTATGCTGTAATGATTTGTATACAAAACTATCCATGTGTGATGTATGCTGTAATGATTTATATACAAAACTTTATATCTGTGCGATGTATGCTGTAATGATTTATATACAAACTATATATATGTGTGATGTATGCTGTAATGACTATATACAAAACTATCTATGTGTGATGTATGCTGTAATTATTTATATACAAACTAGATATATGTGTAATGTATGCTGTAATGATTTATATACAAAACTATATATGTGTGATATACGCTGTAATGATTTATATACAAAACTATATATGTGTGATGTATGCTGTAATGATTGATATACAAAACTATATAATTATGTGTGATGTATGCTGTAATGATTTATATACAAAACTATCTCTGTGATGTATGCTGTAATGATTTATATACAAAACTATCTATGTGTGATATACGCTGTAATGATTTATATACAAAACTATCTATGTGTGATGTATGCTGTAATGATTTATAAACAAAACTATCTCTGTGATGTATGCTGTAATGATTTATATACAAAACTATCTCTGTGTGATGTATGCTGTAATGATTTATATACAAAACTATCTTTGTGATGTATGCTGTAATGATTTATATACAAAACTATCTATGTGCGATGTATGCTGTAATGATTTATATTCAAAACCATCTATGAGCCCGGTATTTTTGTGTGATTTGTATAAAAAACTATCTTTGATTGTGGTTTTTGTGTGTGATTTATATGCAAAATTATATATGAGTGTGTTTTTTGTGTGATTGTGAATGTTGCAGTGTGATATTTCAGAATAGTTACTTCTGCCCTACGTATATTTATAGGCTAAATGTCCATAATTACAAATATACTTCACATCCACATGATAGTTACAAATGATTTCGAACTATTTAAACAAATAGCTCACTTCTTTTAATGATAAAATACACACAGTTCTCACTTCCTTTAATGAATGATAACATACAACAGTGAGTTATTTACTCATGAACTCGTCGAGCGAACAAGATCATCCATTACTTATGTGTGTTGCACAAACTGAGATTGTCTGATAAATCATCAGAACCAAAATGATAGTAAAGACAAATTTGCGCGTACCGTTTTGATGTCCGTGGTACTAGTGTCGCCCTAAAGGAACAGCGAGGTATAAACTATATCTTAATTTATATATTAGCTATATTTGACAGGTGTCAAAGCGTCATATATATACCGAACAAATCCTCAGACAGGTGTCAAAACTTTATATATATATATATATATGTATATAATCCAATAATCTAACCGAACAGATCCTCAGACAGGTGTCAAAACGTCATTTATATATATATATATATATATATATAATCCAATAATCTAACCGAAGAGATCCTCAGACAGGTGTCAAAACGTCATATATATCTATATCTATTATCCAATAATCTAACCGAACAGATCCTCAGACAGGTGTCAAAACGTCATATATATATATATATATTATAATAATCTAACCGAACAGATCCTCAGACAGGTGTCAAAACGTCATATATATCTATATCTATTATCCAATAATCTAACCGAACAGATCCTCAGACAGGTGTCAAAACGTCATATATATCTATATCTATTATCCAATAATCTAACCGAACAGATCCTCAGACAGGTGTCAAAACGTCATTTATATATATATATATATGTATGTATCTATTATCCAATAATCTAACCGAACAGATCCTCAGACAGGTGTCAAAACGTCATATATATCTATATCTATTATCCAATAATCTAACCGAACAGATCCTCAGACAGGTGTCAAAACGTCATATATATATATATATATTATATATATAATCCAATAATCTAACCGAAGAGATCCTCAGACAGGTGTCAAAACGTCATATATATCTATATCTATTATCCAATAATCTAACCGAACAGATCCTCAGACAGGTGTCAAAACGTCATTTATATATATATATATATATATATAATCCAATAATCTAACCGAAGAGATCCTCAGACAGGTGTCAAAACGTCATATATATCTATATCTATTATCCAATAATCTAACCGAAGAGATCCTCAGACAGGTGTCAAAACGTCATATATATCTATATCTATTATCCAATAATCTAACCGAACAGATCCTCAGACAGGTGTCAAAACGTCATATATATCTATATCTATTATCCAATAATCTAACCGAACAGATCCTCAGACAGGTGTCAATATATATATATATATATATATATATATATATGTATATAATCCAATAATCTAACCGAACAGATCCTCAGATATATTAACGACAACTGTAATTCTAGACTGATTATCTAACGTTAGGTATGTATCACTTTGTAGTCTTGCTGCCGGAGTGAATTATTCGACGCATGTCGAAGTGTGAAACCTGTTCATACAATACGTTTACTTTTATATATCTTTATAGTGCAATATTTTATAGGTCTACTGTCGTATATCATAATAACGAAATATTAGACATATCTACTTTTGTATCTCGAGTTGTAATATTCTAAAAAATATAAAATTTGGAGTTTATTAGTAAATTAGAATCGTCATAATTAAAAGAGATGATGTTAATGCAGTTTACTGAAAATAATGATAATAATTAAATGAATATTTACAATCAAAACAAAAAAAGAGTAAGAAAAATTTCGATAAATGCTACTTACCTAATTTCCCGTCATCTGTAAAAGCTAAGTCAATAATTGCTAAGAAGAGTGCTGCTCCACAAATCACCATAGCTTTTGTATCCATAGTTACTTATGTGTTTGAATAAGTTTAAAATGAGAAAATAGTGCAACCTGATGTTCCAATTTCGTATGATTGTATTAAAGGATTTTTGTATTTTAAAACTACACTCTCTCCATGTCTTGTGGCCTAAAGAAAGACTTAGTTTACTTAAATCCTTAAATATATGAACAGTTTCCTCTTGGCGTGATAATACTTTCTCTGCGACAATCCATGTAGCTGTCCAATAGAAACTGACATGTTTACAAGGTCGGATAGGATTGGTCACGTATCGATCAAAGATCATGAACATGTAAGGTATGTTTTGATTGGGCGTGTTGGCTGCCTGTCATTGGATAAGTGGTGGTGGTGTGGGAGGGGAGGTCTTTAGAGAAACCATGTACTGTTTCGATATATTTGTGGTCTAGGATCAATATCTCCTTCGCCACTCTACGGGGCGAAAGTATTCAAACCTACTGTACCAGGTACATGACGCTTCCTCGTCATATTTCAATTGTTTGAACATGATTTCGTCGTGTAAGATCTATTGGTAGATACTGCTGAAGAAGCGGTCGTAATTACATCGAGATGTGATGGTATTGTATCGTGGTTACTGAGTGTGGCAATGTGTGGGGACAGCATGATTGAACTAGTTATTTGATCAGAATTAAGTAAATCAAATTGATAATAGGATAAGCGTTGCTAGGGGGTTCGTTAACCGTGAGGCAGTCAGGCCAAAATGGCTGTTATTGGAATTCGTATATGTAAAATTATACAGTGTAATCACTGGCCGCTGGTAACCTAGCTAGAATAGGGGTATCTCTGCAACCGATGTTCGAATTTAACACACATGGCTTTCTATAAAAGACGATGAAAACTGCTAGAAATGTAGGAATATTGGTAACTGTGTAGTGTCAACAGAAGGATTCAGTGAGTGTCTGATACGACATGGCCCTCTCCAATAGACAATTCCTGCCAATCAACAGGAACATTGTTGGTGTCTAGTCACAGAAATAACTTGCTTTCAGCGTTCATAAGACGGGCATTATTGCATCCACGGATCTCCATGATCTTGATGAATGACCATTGAACATTAACTATTGGTTCATACTAATATCTGGTCCAACTTTCAATGTAATACCATGCCAGTGTAATCATTCCTACCGTTTATCACTGTTCGACAACAGGTGATTGATTTGTATAGCTTTATCTTTCTGGTACATTTCTGTAAATTCTTAATACGTAACGATTTTTAGGTTCTTGTGTTATCACTAAATTCGAACTTTATGTTAAGGTGGCAGGCGTATATCACAATTGTTACACAACACTATCAGTCTCCTAATTCAAACATTATATATTTATCTAGGCTTAATGCGTACATTTATAGAATATTTTCACAATATATTTATAATTATGATTAATTAATTTTTAGTTTAATATACGCAGAAGCAGTCAATTATTATTTCTTTATTACACAGAACTGATCTAGTATCTCTGTATTACATATAACTGATCTATAATCTCTGTATTACACAGAACTGATCAAGTATCTCTGTATTACACAGAACTGATTTAGTATCTCTGTATTACATATAACTAGCTGATCTAGTATCTCTGTATTACATAGAACACTTCTACTATGTCTGTATTACATAGAACTGACCTAGTATATCTGTATTACATAGAACTAACTGATCTAGTTTCTCTGTATTACATAGAACTGATCTAGTATCTCTGTATTACATAGAACTTACTAATCTAGTATCTCTGTATTACATAGAACTGATCTAGTATCTCTGTATTACATAGAACTAACTGATCTAGTATCTCTGTATTACACAGAACTGTTCTAGTATCTCTGTATTACATAGAACAGATCTACTATGTCTGTATTACATAGAACTGACCTAGTATCTCTGTATTACATAGAACTAACTGATCTAGCATATTTGTATTACATAGAACACTTCTATTTTGTATTTCATAGAACTGATCTAGTATATCTGTATTACATAGAACTAATCTGGTATCTCTGTATTATATAGAACTGATCTACTATTTTTATATTACATAGAACTGATCTAGTATCTTTATTACATAAAACTGATCTAGTATCTCGATATTACATAGAAATAAGTGATATAGTATATCTGTATTACATAGAACTGATATAGTATCTCTGTATTACATAGAACAGATCTAGTATCTCTGTATTACAAAGAACACTTCTACTATGTCTGTATTACATAGAACTGATCTAGTATCTCTGTATAACATAGAACAGATCTACTCTTTTTGTATTACATAGAACTGATCTAGTATATCTGTATTATATAGAACTGATCTAGTATCTCCGTATTACATAGAACTAACTAATCTAGTATCTGTGTATTACACCGAACTGATCTAGTATCTGTGTATTACATAGAACTAATATCTAGTGATTACATAGAACTGATCTGTATATACATAGAACTGATCTAGTATCATTGTATTACACAGAAATAAATGATCTAGTATATCTGTATTACACAGAACTAACTGATCTAGTATCTCTATTATATAAAACTGATCTAGTATCTCTGTATTACATAGAAATAAGTGATCTAGTATATCTGTATTACACAGAAGTAAGTGATCTAGTATCTCTGTATTACATAGAACTAACTGATCTAGCATCTCTGTATTACATAGAACACTTCTACTATGTCTGTATTACATAGAACTGATCTAGTATATCTGTATTATATAGAACTGATCTAGTATCTCTGTATTGCACAGAACTAATTTGGTATCTCTGTATTACCCAGAACTAATCTAGTATCTCTGTATTACATAGAACTGATCTAGTATCTCTGTATTACATAGAACTGATCTAGTATCTCTGTATTACATAGAACTGATCTACTATCTTTATTATATAAAACTGAGCTAGTATCTCTGTATTACATAGAACTTACTAATCTAGTATCTCTGTATTACATAGAACTGATATACTGTCTCTGTATTACACAGAACTAAATGATCTACTATCTCTGTATTACATAGAACTAACTGATTTAATATCTCTGTATTACATAGAACATATCTGATATCTTTGTATCACATAGAACTAGATCTACTATCTCTGTATTTCATAGATCTGATCTAGTATCTCTCTTTCATAAAACTGATCTAGTATCTCTGTATTACATAGAACTGATCTAGTATCTCTGTATTACAAAGAACTGATCTAGTATCTCTGTATTACATAGAACTGATCTAGTATCTCTGAATTATATAAAACTGATCTAGTATCTCTGTATTACATAGAACTTACTAATCTAGTATCTCTGTATTACATAGAACTGATCTAGTATCCCTGTATTACATAGACCTTACTGATCTAGTATCTCTGTATTACATAGAACTGATCTAGTATCTCTGTATTACATAGAACTGATCTAGTATCTCTGTATTACATAGAACTGATCTAGTATCTCTGTATTACATAGAACTGATCTAGTATCTCTGTATTACTAGTCTAGTATCTCTGTATTACATAGAACTGATCTAGTATCTCTGTATTACATGGAACTTACTAATCTAGTAACTCTGTATTACAGAGAACTGATCTAGTATCTCTGAATTATATAAAACTGATCTAGTATCTCTGTATCACATAGAACTGATCTAGTATCATTGTATTACATAGAACAGATCTAGTATCTCTGTATTACATAGAACAGATCTAGTATCTCTTTATTACATAGAACAGATCTACTATGTCTGTATTTCATAAAACTGATCTAGTATCTCTGTATTACATAGAACTAACTGAACTAGTATCTCTGTATTACACAGAACTGTTCTAGTATATCTGTATTACATAGAACAGATCTAGTATCTCTGCATTACATAAAACTAAGTAATAAAGTATCTCTGTATTTCATAGAACTGATCTAGTATCTCTGTATTACATGGAACTTACTAATCTAGTAACTCTGTATTACAGAGAACTGATCTAGTATCTCTGTATTACATTGAACTAACTAATCTAGTATCGGTGTATTACATAGAACAGATCTAGTATCTCTATATTACATAGAACTAATTAATAAAGTATCTCTGTATTTCATAGAACTGATCTAGTATCTCTGTATTACATTGAACTAACTAATCTAGTATCTGTGTATTACACCGAACTGATCTAGTATCTGTGTATTACATAGAACAGATCTACTCTTTCTATATTACATAGAACTGACCTAGTATCTCTGTATTACATAGAACTAACTGATCTAGCATCTCTGTATTACATAGAACACTTCTACTATGTCTGTATTACATAGAACTGATCTAGTATATCTGTATTATATAGAACTGATCTAGTATCTCTGTATTGCACAGAACTAATCTGGTATCTCTGTTATATAAAACTGATCTAGTATCTCTGTATTACATAGAAATCAGTGATATAGTATGTCTGTATTATATAGAACTGATCTAGTATCATTGTATTACACAGAAATAACTGATCTAGTATCTCTGTATTACACAGAACTAAGTGATATAGTATCTCTGTATTACATAGAACTGATCTAGTATCTCTATTATATAAAACTGATCTAGTATCTCTGTATTACATAGAAATAAGTGATATAGTATGTCTGTATTACACAGAACTGATTTAGTATCATTGTATTAAACAGAAATAACTGATCTAGTATCTCTGTATTACATAGAACTAAGTGATCTAGTATCTCTGTATTACATAGAACTGATCTAGTATCATCTGTATTACACAGAAATAAGTGATCTAGTATCTCTGTATTACATAGAACTGATATAGTATCTCTGTATTACATAGAACAGATCTAGTATCTCTGTATTACATAGAACTAATTAATAAAGTATCTCTGTATTTCATAGAACTGATCTAGTATCTCTGTATTACATTGAACTAACTAATCTAGTATCTGTGTATTACACCGAACTGATCTAGTATCTCTGTATTACATAGAACAGATCTATCTTAGTATCT